CTCCCTCCCTCCCTCCCTCCCTCCGTGCTTTCCATCGCATTCCAGGGAAGCTGTGGAAGTGCTGAACCAGTGTATGAAGTTGGTAATAGATTGAATGATAGAAAGAAAACTACAACTTAATCCAGACAAGACAACATGCTCTTGGTTAATAGAATAGGGGGTCTAGAAATAGGAGTTCAACCTGTGCTGCATGGGGTAACATTTCTCTGAACACAGCTTTGTACTGTTTGTATTGAGTTGTATTTTACTAATTACCCTCCTTAAAGGACGCTGAGGAAAGGCAGAGTGTAAATATTTTAAATAAACAAATAAAGCAAGCATGCACAAATGCTCCCTACTTTGCCTTTTCTGCTATTTACCACCATTTGAAGCAGAATGCACAATAAACTGCTTTTAATAAGGTACAGTGTTTTAGCATTGGTATAGGTACATTGCACACATATTATAATACTTTTAAAAATAAACATAAAATGGTTGCTTTTTTAGTGCCAACATTTCCTTACGTTAAAGCAGTTTTTAAGCAAATGAAATTAGTAGGGGATTTATTCTACATGAACATTCAATTGAACTACAGATTTCTATTCTGTTTCCATGGCAACATTCGTTTCAAACCATTATTACTAAAATTGAATTTCACGTCTCTGTTGGAACTAAACAACATTAAAAAAGGCCCTTGGAAGGGTTCATCTAGCACAACTAATTACTCTGGAAAATAGCTTTCTAAAATCCAACTAATTTAAATTTCATTCCTGTCAAACTATTAAAGGTTATAATTGTGTCACTGTTTATTGCAGTGTCAATAGCTTCAAGGTAGCTATTTCAATGGCCACAGCTTTATAATACGTCTCAAAAGCTTCTTAACAGAGGAGGAAATGGTGCATCAAAAGCATACAAAAGGTAGAAAGGCAAATGATCACGAACCACTGGGAAAAACAGAAAGGATATACCTTGCCTGTCTAATTCTTGAGGTGAAATATTTAGCAAGAGTAGGAACAATTCTTTAACAGTTTAAGTCTAACATTACTCTAGGCAGAACTCAGACAGATGGAAAGGAAACAAACTAGTCTACTGCGGATACTGCATCTGTGCATAGATTATTCTCATAGGCTCAACAGAGTACTGTCTACTCTCTCAGCCTATGCACACATGCACAGGAAGTGTAGCAGGATCTGTCCCCCCAATCAGTTCAATCTTAGTTATTTGTACTCTGAAACTGTGCCAGAGTACATTATGCTCAAAGTGTGCTACTGGAGAACTGTCCAAACCTACTTATTATTATGTGGGCAAGTAAAGGTGAAGGATCAAGTGCAAAGTACTAGACCTGCATTGGATTACCCCAATGAAACTGACTGGCAACAGGTCAGGGCAGACAAAAGAAAGTACTTACTTGCATAAGATGATTGATTTATGGAATTCCCTGCCAGAAGATGCAAGGACGGCTGCTGGTTTCAAAAGGGATTAGAGACATTTGTGAAGAAAGGGTCTACCAATGGCAACTAGCTATTATAGCCAAATAGAATACATACTTCTGAATACCAGGCACCACTAAGCTCTCTTGTATAGATGCTCAGAGCATGTACTTTACACATTACAACAGGTTCACCATATAGCTACAAATCTGTGGAAGCACTGAGGACCAATTTCATATTTTGCAAAAGTAACCCAACTTGAGAGCAAGATGGCAGGTGAGTGGTAGAACACAGAGATTATCTCTGTACCACACATCTGCCAAGTTGTTCTGAATATACTGATATAATTTATTAAATACATAACTTGCCCTTCATCCCAAAGGAGCGCAGGGTGGAAAACAGAGAACTAGTATAAAAAAAACACAATAAAAATAAAAGATAACGTATTGGAAAAATTTTAAAAATAAGAACATCAAAAGTTTATATATAATTAAATCAGCTGAAAAATATTTATTGTTTAGATTACAATCAAACCCCCATACACATATCAGGCTGGAGGGGAGGGTTGGACTGAGCAGCGGCATTCCTCTGCTTGCTTCTGCCAGCCTCTTACCAGTACAATGATGCAAGCAAGCAGCACTCCACTGGCCCAGACCTCTCCCTTCTGCCTGAAAGTGCAGGAAGGTGGAAGGCCTGCCAGCAGTATTCCTGCTGACAGAAAGTCCCAAAACAGGGCATTCTGAAGGTGGAACTGAGCTGGCCTCGAATCCACTTGATCTGAGCTGCTCTTATACCTGGCACAGGCTCATTGCGAGACCAACTGCTGGTGCAAGGATCGTGCCTGATTTGCCTGTCCCCTTTGCCCACCCTTCCACTGCTGCTGCAATGAGCAACTCAGCTCCAGAAAGCCTCAGCGACAGCAACTGAAACTTTGGATTGCTTTGCCAGTGAGTGTGCTAAACCAACTGAATCAGAAAGGAAAATACCAGATGAAAGTGGAACAGAAAATACCAAACGAATGTCAGAACTGACTGACCCATCCCAAGTGTGTGTGTATACAGGAGCGCTCTTTCTAAGTGCTAAAAGCACTTCAGATATCATCACCACAAATATCATTATCCCAGCAATCATCAGTCCCCTAGGGTAGGCAAATTTATTTTTCATGTCAGACATAGAGCAGCTTGCCCAAAGCAAATCAGTTGACAGCAGACATTATGTGAGCTGGGAGTTTCCAGATCACTATCTTATCCATAAGCCATGCCAGCTATTCAGGGGACATATTCTGCAGTACCCAAAACATTGTTATTCTCTTCCCTAGATCCCTATAAAATAAAATAAATCCAGAGGGCAGAATTCAATGGGTCCCACCAATGGAAGCCCTGCACAAGAGCTTCTGCTTGAGCAGTGGGACTTTCTGTCCCTTTCCTTCCCCTGCAACCACTAAAATTGGTTTTTGTGAGTCAGAGAACTTGCAGAACAGGGGGGGGGGGGGGATAATTCGGTCTGGCAAGCCAAAATACTTGCTCTGACAGAATGATCACCTTAAAGCAATGTTCCTTAATAAACTGACAGTAGATGCACATATAAACAACTTACCATGGTGTAATTGTGGGCTACTTTGTGCAAATCCGTGCAACCCTGTGCATCCGCAAAGGACCGGATTCCAAGGCAATTTGATGGATGAAGCTGCTTCATTAAAAATTTACAGCAAGCTTCTACAACCTGAGAGAGCTGAAGAATACATGCTGTAGATAACAGGCACTCAATATTATCTTCTTTTAATTCAAGGCGACCTAGAAGAGTCAGAAAGAAGTTTAAGGTATTTAGGAAATAATAATATTACAAGAGCAACTCTGCTAGATCAGACCAGTCTAAGGGAGGGGAGAGAAAGCTCTCTGGAGTGGACCCAGACTAAATTAGTGGAACTTGGGTCCCAGTGAAATCAATGGGAAAAGTTAGTCATGACCAGTTATATTGATTTCAATGGGAATTTAGCGGAAGTGCAAATTAGTCTGAATCCAACCCACTCTCTCCACACCATTCAACATTTAACAAACCTCTATCTGTTATGTTCTCCTAAGTCATATTTATTCTAAATGAAGAAACCCCAAATGCACCTAGTCTTTTCTCATAAGCTAGACTCCTAGCCTCCAGAAAGGACAACTTTGTGTTCATGAGGTTGGAGGTGCATAGAGGAAAGAAGCTGTGTTGCCACTTTAACTGCCAGGTTTCCAGCTACATCCACTGCAGGTCTGAGCTGTGTCCTGGCTGGTACAGGGATGAGACTGGCTCAGACAGGTCAAAAGGAAGGCCTTTTCACTCAAATCCTTTCCTGGGCCACAAAAAGGAGTTTTTGCAGTCTTCCCTATTTATATATTTACTTATACTTTCACACTGCTAATAACTGAAGTTATCAGGATGGTTAACAATAAACACCAATACCGCAAAACAGAATAAACATCTATATTTGGTTGGCTTTGTGGCCTATACCCCACAGTTACCAGGTTATTGGTGAGTTAAGAGGAAATAAATGAGACAGTACAGATTTGGGGGAACCACTGTATCAGGAGTTGGGTTTTGTTGATATTTGAGTAAACAGCCCCTTCCCTTCACAGCAGGTGAGAAAGCTAATAAAATAAACAAATGTACATACATTAGACAACTTTACCAGCCACTTTCATTACCTGTATATGCATATTGCACCAAAGCCCATAGTGCATTTGGCTCAACACCTTCCATTTTGATTTCTTCTTGTCTTGCCTCTCTTACATCATTAGTAAACATGGCGGCAAAGTAGTCCGAGACAGAAGACAACACTAATCTGTAACCATATGAAACAAAAGATGTGAAAATGACATTCACATTAATGTCATTTCTGAAAACATTTTGAACTTGACAAACTATGATATCATCTACTTCTCAATATGTTTCTTAACCTACCTCTTTGGTGCTTTACAACTTCACTGCCCAGTAAAAAATACCACTTAAAGCTAATCTGAATTTTGAGACAAAAATGAGAACTTTTTGGCGAAATGCAGTTCAATGGGTGCTACATCATGGGTTCACATCATGATAACTGTTTCATAATATTTGAGCTGGCAATATATTGCAAATTACAATGTGTGTAAGGGCTAGGCAACCTCTGGTTTTCAACATCGCAATAACTCACCAGCTAAACACTGCAACCTACCACAATGTCAGAAATAAGGATGGAACTATACAGAGGCAAAATGTCCTGGCAACTGCTAGTACTTAGGGGACTAAAACAGATAAATGGCAATATTATCAATCATCACAAACAGTTTCGTCGGCAGGCAAGCCAAAATGCAACCCAACAGGACTTTTGGTTTTGGGCTTGGCTACCAAATGGTGGTATTCAGGACAATCCAAAGTACGGCGATGAGACATAGTGAAAACAAATAATCTGGGACTGTAATGCCTCATGGCAGTGACAGGGAATGATAGCAGCAACAGCAGACTGCAAGGCCTCACGGCGGCAATTCAAAGTTGCAGCAGAAGCAGTGATGGCCTGCAGGGACTCGCAGCAGAGGCCTGCAGGAACTCGTGACTATGACTGGAGGTGACAGCAGTAGCGGCATCCTGCGAGGCCTTACGGCGAAAACAAGAGATGGCAGCAATAGTAGTGGCAGCCTGCGAGGCCTCGTGGTAGCAGTGGGAGGCAGTGGCAGAAGCTGTGGCAGCCTGCCTCAGCAACGCCTTACAGGTCACCTCTGCTTCTGCCACCGTCTCCTGCTGCCACCACAAGGCCTCACAGGCCGCCGCTACTGCCACAGCCATGACAAGGCCTTGCAGGCCATTGCTGCTTTTGCCACTGCCGCAAGGCCTTGCAAGACCACCACCACTACTGCTGCCACCACAGCAAGACCTTGCAGGCTGCCGCCACTTCTGCCAACCTTGCCCACTGCCATGGTGAGGCTTAACAGGCTGCTGATTATTGTGCCACTACTGCCAGGCTGCCGCTGCTTCTCCCCTCCCCCAAACGTTGATTCTGCCGCTGCTAGGCTGCCGCTGCCTAGTAGGCCTGCTGGCAGTCCCAGATTATTTGTATTCACTCATCACCATACTTTGGATTGCCCTGAATATCACCATTTGGTAGCCAAGCCCAAAACCAAAAGTCCCATTTGGACGCATTTTGGCTTGCCTGCTGCTGAAAGTGACCATGAGGTGATTGATAATATCATCATTTATCAGTTTTAGACCCTTATGTAGTAACAGTAGTTCGCCTCTGCGTAGTTCCTTCGTTATTTCAGATATCATGATATATTGTGATGTTTAGCTGGTGATATATCGTGATATTGAAAACCATTTGTCGCCCAGCCCTAATGGGTGAAAACATCTACTTCCTAGTAGTAATAATAGAAACCAAATGGTATGGGGAAGTTCATGAATGAAAAATAAACAAAAGGCTAGCAACAAATCAATAAATAAAATTTGCCATTTATAAGCAGATGCACCAGCAGCTCCTTTTTCACAAGCAGTGAAACGTTTATGTAAAAACTACCCATATGCTTAATTTTTCTATGATTTTCAAATTACTGCAAATATTTATTTTGGACAAGATTTTTGCATTGACAGCTGTTAGAAAAAAATATCTTTGGTTCAAATCACCACATGAACATATTGCAAGTGGACTAGTTATGGAACTTTTTCAAACAGTCAATTTGGGAAGTTTGTTATAACTTAAGAAAAGTCTAATTGCATATTTACCTGTGTGCTGGAATCCGACGGTCACCAGCAACTAATACTACATCACATAACTGTTTGTGTCTCAGGTAGTTTTCCATCTTTTTAAAGGTTTGCTCTGCATGGTTAAGAGCCTGGAAAAATTCATCGGATGTACAAGGCTCCATCGTATGACACGATGACAGAGTCTGGCTGCTACTAGAAGTCCTGGAAGCACAAAAGATACATATTTTAAACTCATATTCACAGCCTGAGATAAAAGATGTTTGCATTATGCATTTCAGAAAATAACAGACTAATTCATTTGTAGGCATTTTTGACAAAGTGCAGAATCTCTAACAGCTTCTTCCATATAAGACTTGCTGTGACTGACAAAAGATTGGATACTAATGGCACATATCATGAGGAATTTTTTTAAAAGTTGTAATTCTTACAGCATTTAATCATTGCATTCCCACCAACAAAGGCATGCCAGTTTGTTCTACACTGCAAACTGCCTTTGTATTCCATTTGTATTATTCAGTTTCCACTTTCAAGTGCTACTCAGTTAAAGCAACCATACAATGTAGAATAACCACAATTCATGAACTAAGTAACAGGTCAACAAAATACATATATATTTTAATGCCTTTTGCACTCCCTTCTTGCATTTCCAATGCAATTTTGTTTTCCCATTGAACTTTTTTCTCTATATCAATATAAAACTAGCTGTATCTGTGGAAATGGTTTAAAAGTACATGACAGTATTTTTATAGAACAGTATACCAAAGAAGTCAGACTAGCTAACAAAGACTTCTTTACAGTGCAGTTTATTTTATTTACAGTTTTGCTGCTAAGTGTACGCAAAACAAAAACACTCTCCTGCACATACATCCAAAGAGATACTAAAGTCCAAGCATCATTTTATGAGCTCCAGCCATCTCTCTGAAGGCAACTGGAGCACCATGCTAATGAACATCTTATGCCAGGAAAAGTGGTTAATTGTTCAGCAAAGATGCAATTGGCACTGGCAATTATGTGATCATAATTAGGTTTCAAAATTAACAGCCTATTAAGAAGATATATAGATGGATGGTAGAAAGAAAGCAGCAGTGACCTCTAACATGTCTTCCCACGCCAGCGAGAAGCAGAGCAGCAGGAGGCTCAGCTACAGCCAAGGCTGCAGGCAGTATGTTTGTGAAAGCAGGGCATCTTTGCCTCCTCCCATGGAGTAAAAAAACCACACACATTGCTGACTGGAAGAAGCTAAGGGTCGATGCCATCCCACCTATGCCTTCAAATGAGTGATGACTATATACATGCTTGAGAGAAGGGCCATCATCCACTTCTAACAGAGTCCACAATAGTGAGGAGTCATGTCCCTTCCCCCCCAACGAGTGTGGGTTTATTCTGCAAGCTGTCATTCACACAATAACAGTGCATCAGTGGTGGAGTTATACTGGACTACCTACACATCATTTAGTTTTATTACTTGTTATGCAATGCATCCCCAGTGTTTTCACATTATTGGCGTCTGGAGAAGCACTAAAACACAACAAAAGCAGGAAAGACACACAGAGAACATTTGTGGATTTCAGCAGGATATTATGGGACATGCACTGATGAAGCAGCATGTCCACACTGAATATTTTGCAGGTGCAAACTACATTTTTAAATTGTTTTCACAGAATACAGAAAGAACACAAGGTAAATAAAGCAAGAAGAAGGAAACAAGCCCCCTCTGCACAACCTCCACACACACACCCCAGACAGGTCAGCCATCAATGAAATAAAAGATTAAAAATCAACCCAGAGTACTTTTCCACATGCAACCATGGGAGCCAGGCAGACAAAAATCATGTTTCTTCATAGTCCCATAAGCTATCAAGCTTCACCAAGTTAAATAAACTTTCCCAGTCTGCAGAGCACCATTTTGTGTGTGTTATACTTTCTATCAAGGCCAAGTTCCTTATCTGGGTAGTCCATTCCATCATTAAATTACCTGTATATGGGATAACTGATTTAACTTGTGATTAAATTGCCTGCTAATGTACTCCAGTGTTTGGCTATAGTTAGCAAGGCAACCACAATTAGGTACATGGTAATATAAGCCTTTATGGTTCTATGACAGCCTTAATACCTGTGTGTAAAGGTGGAAATAATACCATGGTTCACATCAGGATATTTTCTTGATATTTGAATAAGGCAACTGCAGGTCTGATATTTTACAAAGTAACAATAAAAAGGTCAATGATATGACAAAGGAGGGTCATACCAGACAATTTCTACAAGCCCACATTTTTCAATTAGTGCTACAATTGGCACTAGAGCTGATCCAGCATCAACGATGCAATGTTCTCTCCGTCTGCAGTGGAAGAAGGTAGTCTTGCTAAACGAGGATTCTGTTTGCACCAAAGCATATCTAATCAATTGTATGCTTTAGCACTGGAGAAGAGAAACAGCTTATGTACACTGTTTTAAACAGCAAAAAAAGTTCACAAAACGTCAGTGTGATGCTATAGGAAGCCAAGTTAGTCATGCTGGTGTTTGCCAATTTTGTACAGGGGGAATACATGAAATTAGTAAACTTCTGATTTGCATCAAATCTGTTTGCCAATGCATCTGAACAGGAAGGCTGTGGTTTACGCTTGTCAAAGAAGACTGAAAGCCAGGATCAAAATGTAGTTTTGGTGCTTGGCTGCAACAGCAAATGATGGTTAGCTGAAAGCCAGGAACTAAATAATTAAGCAGAGCATCCGAAGGAAGGAGGAGAAAGTATACAAGCACAGGGCTCAATCCCTTAATGCCAAACTATGGTTTGTCGTTCTGTGATATGGTGAGTGCAGGTGTGTGTGTGTGTGTGTGTGTGTGTGTAGTACAACTATGCTGATGGACTCCAAGGTAGCATTCACTAGATGATATAGACATGAGCAACTATGTTCTTCCCAACATTCACATCACTAACCTGAACATAAAAGAGGAGACAGGATAGATTAGACCCTAGTCCAGCATTTGTTTCCATAGTAGCTAATGAAAGCAGGACATCAGCACAGTCAGTACATCACCACAGTCACACTCCTCCATTGTTGGACCCCAGCAACTGGTATTCAGCTGCATGCTGCCTTTGATCCAGGATGCCATCAGGACTAGTAGTCACTGAGAGACAAATTCATGGGGGCTAAGGCTAATTCAGCCTTTCTGAACCTGATGTCTTCAAGATGTTTTGAACTACAACTCCCATCAGTCACAGGCAGCATAGCCAGCAGTCAGGGATGATAAGTGTCATTCAGAAACATCTGGAGGACTAATAGTTCTGTACCTCTTGTTTAATGCCCTGTGTGAAGTACTTCTTTTTGTCTGCCCTGAATCTAACATCTCTCCACTTTATTGAATGACCCTGGGTTCTAGAATAATGAGAGGGAGTAAAACCTCTCTAGTCACTTTCCAATACCATGCAAAATCTGAATTCTGTCAACCGAGATGGGTGGGGAAGTTACATCTTTTTCAGATCAAAGTGTTTCAGTTTGAATTCTAGTGTCATACGCTTACGATATACTGAGGAAATATGCCCAGTTCCCCTGCAACAATTGAACAACTGTGTTCATTACACAAAATGTCGTATTTCTTCTGTAACTATCTTTGACAGCACGATTCTGTGCATATCTACTCAAAATTAAGCCCAACTAAGTTCAATAGAAAGGGACGCAGGTGTAGCTGTGGTCTAAACTACAGAGCCTAGGGCTTGCCAATCAGAAAGTCGGCAGTTCGAATCCCCGCAACAGGGTGAGCTCCCGTTGCTCTGTCCCAGCTCCTGCCAACCTAGCAGTTCGAAAGCACGTCAAAGTGCAAGTAGATAAATAGGTACCACCCCGGCGGGAAGGTAAACGGTGTTTCCATGCGCTGCTCTGGTTAGCCAGAAGCGGCTTAGTCATGCTGGCCACATGACCCGGAAGCTGTCTGCAGACAAACACTGGCTCCCTCGGCCTATAGAGCGAGATGAGCGCCGCAACCCCAGAGTCGTCCACGACTGGACCGAATGGTATGGGGTACCTTTACCTTTAAGTCCAATAGGTCATACTCTCTAGTACTTGTGTATAAGGTTGCAGCCTAAATCTACTGCAAGAGTGAAGGTGCACATAAAAATATTAATTAAATTTTATATTTTCATCCTAACATGTTTCAAGTGCAGAGACTTTTTCAAAGGACTCTTTCAAAA